TGAATCTTCTTGCAAGTCAACTGCCTCATCTTCTGGCTGGGGAGCAGCTGCTGGTTTCAAACCACTAACCTTTCCAATCCCGATCAAGTGCTTTAGCCACAGTGTCCCCCGGCCCCCGTTTGTACCACCCAGGGATTTTCGTTTCCCACTAAGCTCAAAACCAAACCCCCTCCATCCAGTCGATTTCCATTCATAACCCTCCTCGAAGACAGAGGAGAGCTGTGGCCTGCGGGTTTCTTGATGCTGCGTCTTTACCGGAGCAAACGCACACAAACTCACTGCCTGAGCCAATTCTGACTCGCTAGAGAGCGCAGGCGAGAACCAGCCCGGGGGGCTTCTGAGACAAAATGGCCCCAGGAGTAGAAAGCCTCCTCTTTCTCCCACGGAGCAGCTGCGGACTTCAAACTGACGACTCTGAGGTTAGCAGAGTAACGGGAAACCCACTACGCCATCAGGCCCCTTCATTTCCACGAAGGAAGCGCTAACAGCCTTAGATTCCCACGTGAGCACAGGCCCAGGCTCACGTCGTGCTAGCTCTGCGGTGGGCGGCCAGAGAAGCAGGGAGACGCAATGTAAGTTGGAGGAATGAATAGTATTGTCCAGTGGTCAAACAAACGCTGCTTCAAAGTGCAAAGAGCGGCTGAGACGTGAAGTAGCATTGCCTAGCAGGTACAATCAGACACAATGCAAGAAAGTGACGGGGATGGGAGGGTCTAAATTATAAACACTGGGGAAATATTCTACTATCAAACTCACTAGATTATTATGAAACACTTTAAGAATTCCAGTGGGGGCGGGGCGGGGCTCCTGCTGCTGCACAAGGCAGTTTAAACAACACATCTTTAACTTTAATTACCGCGAGAACGCCTGAGTGCTGGCTAAGGTTCCCACAATAGACTTCCAGGGTTGCCGCGCTCCCAAGAAAGACGTTCCAAGAACAGTTCCTTTCAGAGGCCCAAATTAAAAGACAAGGAGGAGGAGGATAAAATTTACACACCAATGAAATAAATTAATAAAAAAATCACCAAGCTAGATGTAAAGGGCTGATGCGACTCTCGGAGTTGGGATGCTTAGAAAATTCCGTTAGGAGCGATGGTGGAAGGCCTGGCAAATTAAAAAGGCCAAATGCACTCAGAGAGCCAACATAACTATGTTACAATTTTGTGGGTCACTTTCAGAAGAAGGTGAGGTGGGACCCACGTCCCCGGTGGAACAGGATGGGGCTCAAAAACCAACAGCACACGGCGAGTCAAGCACACGAAGCATGGAGCTGCCGGGCTCCATGGGTCAGAACCTGAAAGTAGATGACTGTTACCAAAGAGAAATTGTCTCCCAGCCCTTACCATCATCAGCATCCTGTGGACTTTATTCATACACGTAAAGTCGAAGCTGATGATTTTTGTGACATTTGTCAATAGTTGCTTAGCTACCTACCCTGTTTCCCTGAAAGCAAGACAGCCCCGAAAATAAGACCTACTTACAGTTTTGCCTCTCGCTGAAATATAAGGAATCCCCCCAGAAAACAAGACCTCCCTGAAAATAAGCCCCCCCCCCCAAGCTACTATAACTCTGGACTCTGGACTGTCGTGGCGGGCACTGCAGCGCAGCCAGAGCAGACAGGAAGTGCGAGGTCTCTTTTAATAAAACAATCAACAGTAAATGTGTACCGTATTCCTCTTCATGGAAAACTAAGACATCCCCTGAAAATAAGACCTAGTGCATCTTTGGGAGCAAAAATTAATATAAGACACTGTCTTATTTTCGGGGAAACAGGGTAGTAGACTGTTAGCATCTGGGTTCCAAGAGTGGAAGGACAATTAAAGTATAAGTTGTACGAGCTCCATCAATAGTTACTAATATTTCAAATAGGCGCCCTGGTGGTGTAGTGGGTTACAGGTTTGGGCTGCGAACCACAAGGTCAGCAGTTGAAAACCACCAGTTGCTGCTCTTTGAGAAAAGATGACGCTCTCTACGGCCAGAAAGAGTTACAGCCTCGGGACCACAGGAGCAGTTCTGCCCTGTCCCACAGTGATGCCCTGAGTCAGAATCAACTCACTGGCAGTGAGGTAACTGAGTGACACCCATATTTCAGACCTAGCCCCCAGAACTGTGAGAAAACGTCTGTTCTTAAAGCCACACAATCAGTGATGCTGTGTTACGGCAGCCCCAGGAAACGAACACACATCCCATTCTGAAGGCCCCGGGGTCTGCATTGCACGCGGACGTGTAGGGGTAGCCTGCGTGCTACAGGATTTCTGTTCTGGAGTTTGGTGCCAAAGGCGTTCCCTGCTCTAGGTCTCCATCGTGAAAGGCTGAATATTCTGCAAAACCTGAAAGGTAAACAGCAGTTAGACAGGAAAGGCTGGGAGAAGGCAGCAGGTGCAGTTGGAGCTGGTG